GTGCGAGTAGAAGTATGTATTGGTATTTGTAGGGGGAATGTGTAAGTGCAGGTGTGCTTATGGTTAAACCCATGTAGGTGTGGGTTTGGGTGTATAGTGAGACCTGAGATGGCAAGGAGGGGTTACAGTTTTGCCCATGGACACAGCTACAGCAGGGGACAGAGCAACATGGGATCTGAGAGAGCTGTGGCTGGGGGTTCTGGTACTCTGCTGAGGCTCATCAGCTTGGACCACCCATTTCCCGTAGGGCCATGGCACTCACCTCTCACTGGGATACCCAGACAGGAAAGGTGACAAAACATCAGTTTCACCAGCTCTGGCTACTGGCACAACTGCCCGCAGAAGGCCTCTGTTGCAGCTATCCTCCCACTGCGCTCATCTGGGCCCACTTGCTTCTCCATCTGCCTTTGGCCAGCGGGGACCAAAGAGTGATAAGCAAAAGATATATGGCTGCACTTCCAGCAATGAGCCATGGAATTAGTTTCCCTCCTTATCACACTTCCCTGTCTGCATGTCCCAACAAACACAGCAGAGCTCTTAGCAGGTGCAACTGGTCACTGTCCCTAGAACAATTGAGCACTCCCTGGCCTCCCAGCCCTGCTCTCCTCTGAGTCATTTCTATGGTAAATCACAAAGTCACTGAGGTTGGAAAGGACCTCTGCAGAACATCTAGTCCAACCCCCTCTACTCAAAACAAGGGCATCTAAAGCAGGTTGCCAAGGACCTTGTCTACTCAGTTTTTGAATATTTCCAAGGGTGGAGACTCCATTACCTCTTTGAGAAAACTGTTCCAGTACTTGACCACCCTCCCAATAAAAAGGTTCTTCTTATGTTTAAATGGAATTTCCTGTATTTCAGTTTGTTTCATTTTCTCTTGTCCTTTCACTGAGTACTGCTAAAAAGAGTGTGGCTCCATCTTCTTTGCTCCCATTGGGTATTTATGCACATTACTAAGATCTTCCCTGAGCCTTCTCTTCTCCAGACTAAACAGTCCCAGCTCTCTCAGCATGTCCCTGCATGTTAGACACTCTGATCTCATAATCATCTTCATGGCCCTTCTCTGGACATGCTTCAGTTATGTCCATGTTGCTCTTGTACTGCGAGTCTAGCCACAGCTCAGTATTCTTTGTAGGGAAGCTGAGACTCAAGACACTAATCCCTCCTTACTTTGCCCTGTCTGTTTACTTGAGATTGGAAAACCCTGATGTACCAGGGAAAGTGAACAGTGCTAGGACACCCTAGCCTACAGCCTGGCCTAGGTCTCAGCTGCAGGCAACGTCCTCAAGAGAAGAATGGCTTCATGTCCAGACCAGCTCATGCTCTCAGCATGTGTCTTTCTGCGCTATGTCCAGGGCAAAGACAGAGGAATCATCAGCTTGAACCACACCAAAAAGCCCTGCAACAGAATTTTGGAAGAGAAATTGGGCAGGATAAGGTTTGGCCATGCTGCATTGCAATGAGAGCCAGTCAGAACGAGAAGCCTGATGAAAGTTAAGGTGAGATTAAAAGACCCTGGGTTCACAAAGCCTGGAAGGCCACATTTTCATAGACTTGTTTGGCAACTGATGAGTACTGTTCTAACAAAAAACACTTGCAAGGGAAGGCACTGCCAGATCTGCTTCTCTTCTGCAAGGAGGCATGCTGAGATCTGCGCCCTCAGATACCAGACCAGGCAGGTGCTGCTGGCTCCTTTCCTGTTACTTGTAAGTTTGTAAATAGCGAATGACACTACCCAGCCTCTGGGACAACACCCAAAGTAGAACTTCAGTTCCTAGGGCAAGACAGGTCACAGTCCAATGGGGAGGGGTCATCAACTGAAAAGCAAATACCTCCTGTGCCCCTGGTTCACCCTCTGTGCAAAGGAGCCCTCATCAATACAGTCAAGGGCCCCAGGACATGGTGGATCACAGCCCAGTCTAAGGAAGGGACCAATAAGGACCAAATTGGGCCAGTTGGGCCCTGATCTATATTCTCTTCACAGATTGTAGAGAAGCCCAGAATATCTAGCCAAGTATGAGCCTGACATTGGAGGCCCCAGGACCAGACAGGTCCCAGTTCAGGGTTTACAGGCAATGGCACAAGGCCAACCTCTCCACGAGGTCTCTCATCCCACCAGAGCACCAGCCTACCCCTCTGAGTGGCCAGCCAAACTGTCTTATGTATGAAACATGCATATGATTAAAGCTAATGCTCTGGTAGGACCAGCAGCACTGTCCACAGCCTCATCCTCAATTTTGCCTACAAAACTGGTATAGCTGGATTAGGTGTGGCTGGTCTTAAACCACTGCTAATCCATTGTTGCTAAAATCATCAATAGAGTCGCCTGAACTGGGAGAGAGACCAAGCTTATCTGGGGTTACCTATATGTGTGAGTGTTAGTCTCTACTCACGCACTTACCAGGATCATTTACAACAATCCTGCATGCTCCCCAGAGATGACCATCCTGCAATACACTTGCATAACCTGATGGTGCTATAGTAAGTGCAGTGTATTGGTAGTGCTGTACCACATCTCATGATATAGTATGAATGTGGCATATGCAAATGGCTCGAAATTGGAAAAACAGCGAGTCCTAAAAATAAGCCTAAAGAATGGATACTCATGCAGCAGGTACTATCTAATGAGATTCATCACATACCAGCTCCTGGCCTGGAACAAATCATAAAATTATTAGTAGTGAAATAGGAAGAATCTAGACTGGGGAACTTACCAGTAAAAGGTCACTGACACAGAAAAATGCAGTTTTTTTAGCAATGCAGCATGTGTGCACACTCTTGTAAGGGTGTGCTCATAGACTTCAAATAGAGTAAGTCAGCCACACCTGTCAAATTGGGACATTGCCTGGCAAACAGTTATCCTGAGTGCCTCAGGAGCAGGGCAGATAGTCAGATAAAATCCTTTAGGGATATTTTGATGGATAAACAAGCTAGTCTTTAGTGGAAAGGGTGGCTGTCTGTCTCCAGAGTGCTGGAATGCTATCACCTGGATTCTGATAGAAACAACTCCTCCTAGCCTAGGCACAAAAACGCATCTCTATCTTAGGCTTCTGGTGGCTCAAGTCTAACTTTCCCCTATACGGAGGTACTTACCACTGACAACTCCAGAAAAGTGAGCCTGTCCACCTCCATTTATGGAGGAGGGGTCATCCTTAAGTGTGGGATGTGTGCAGTGGATGGGATATACAATGGCTGTATACAATGGCTGTGCAGCAAATAGATGTGCTATGTGGTGGTTGCGCTGTGCAGAGTATGCATTGTGCTGTGCAATGAGTTGCTGAGCTGTGAGGTGGATGTTCTGGGTGATGGATACCTTATGCAGTGACTACGCTGTGCAGTGGTAGACTACACTGGGTACGCTGTGCACTGTAGTATCTGTGCTGTGCAGTTATGCTGAGCAGTGAATGTGCAGTGGTTGTGCAGTGCAGTTGTAATCAGCGCCCTGAATGCACCTTAATTTCCCTAACCACTTCATTTAAGGTCAGGCCTGCCCCTTCAGTCCCTGCCTGAACCTTATTGTCCTGCTCACCCTGCTTGGGTGCTGCTGTCAGGGAAGGTCCCTGCCTCTGCCTGTGCCGTGGTCACCCTTGAGTCCCAGCTCATGTCCTCTTACAGAGCAGAGCCACTCTCGCTGCTTCCTGGCAGTTTTGCTGAGCAATGGTCATGCAGGGCAGGGGTTGTCTAGATTGTGCAGTGAATGTTATGCACAGCATGTGCTGTAATGAAGGTGCTTGCCTGCCTGGGCTTTGCCAGAGATTGTGCCATGTGTCCAGGAGCCAGGATCCGATCGGTTGAGTTCAGCTTAGGCCCTAGCTCCAGGTCTACATTCTCACTTTTAGCGAGCTCCTCTTGGCCTGATGCTGCAGAGGCAGAGCTGGCACTGGACTGCCCAGTGGTTGAGCCTTGTGCCACAAGAGGGCAGGCAGAGCCACGACATCCCTGCAACTGCAGGGATCCCACCACCTTCCTGGGTGATGGGAGAGCCGGGGTACTGCTTGTTTGTGGGACAGTCACACAATGAAACCCGGGCAAGGGAAAACATACTCCCATTGCAATTGGACAGCTAGAAACAGCCTCCAAAGCAACTGTCTGCTCTGCCAGGCCTGGCACTAGTTGGATAGTGTTAGGCCTCTGTCAGATAGTGGAAATGATGCTGTCAGAGTTGTTGCAGGAGCAGGGTGCACTGGGCCTGTCTGCCTGTGTCCGGCCAACCCCAGCCCTTCTTTGCTTCCTGTGTGATGCTAACCACGCCATAAGCCTGCCTCTGCACTGGTCTGCCCAGCCCAGGTAGAGAAGACTCCCAAGGGCTTTCCCAGCATGGTGCATGACAGCCTCTGATCCACCGTGCTTACAGGCTGGGCAGAGACTTAGAGGGGGTGTAAGCTGCTGCCTCAACACCGGTCCTCCTGACACAGCCATGCAGAGTGCTCACCTCTGGGCACAGAGATGTGCAGCTCCCCCAGATAAGTCCCTGAGCCTTTTCCCCTCTGTGACTCCTCTCATCCCGCCCTCATGTCAGCCCTCATGTCACTCCCAGGGATTGTCTCCAGAGGAAAGGTTCTTCTGAACACAGTGGTACCCACCAGGCTGCTGCCTGCTCAGCCTGTACAGCAGCACTCACCACACAGACCCAGACTGCTGCAGGAGGCATGCCCAGGCACAACCCACCAGCCCTACACAGGATGTGGCTAGGACCGACTGTCCTTTCCCAGTAGTGCTGGTCTAGATGTCATGCAGTACTTATTGTGGCAGAGAGCCCCCTCTGTGCCCCAGATACAGGCCAGGCCACCCTCAGCACCACCACCTTGTGATAGTCCTGAACTGGGACTAGGGCAGGATGGGCCAGCTCCTGCCCCACAGGGCACCCCTCCTCTGTGGTGCAGCTCCAGCTTGTGTGGAGAGGTGCAGGTAGAGTCTTAGCCCAGACAGAGAGAGATGGGGCAGCCTGCCATAGCTTGGGGAGCAACTGGTACTTTTCTGAGTGCTTGATGGGATGCATCAAAGACCAGAGGAAGAATTATGTGGGGTTAGCACACTGCAGCTTTATTTCCATGGTAGGGAAGGAGGGTCTCCCCTAGGGGCTCAGTCCCTTAGCACAAACCTTTCTACTGGCCCATGGCCACAAACCCCCAGGGCTCTTGCTAGCCCCATGGCAAGCTGCAATACCCCTACAAGATAGGCACAGCTCCTGCAGAAGGTGGGAAGCCATCTTTGTTTTACCCTTAGCTCCTCACGTTGCCCATCTGCTACCCAGGTACAGGATGGCCAGGGAAGGGCTGGCCACTCCCAACATGGGGAGGCTATCCAGCTCCCATTGGAGCAGGGAATGGCCAGAGGGGGCTCCTACTGGGAGGCTGCCAGGCCTGGGCTGGCTGAGGGGGCATCTCCCAAACATCATGCAGGGCTTTTCATCCCTGCCGGCATGGCTGTGGACCCACAGTCTGCGCCAGGAAGGCAGCACGGCTGCCCAGGCACTTCTGCAGGTAGCTGCATGACTGCAGCTTGCTCAGATCATTTGCAGTAGTTGGGCAGGGACAGATCTCTATGTTGTAAAGCGGGCTGCCCAGGCACTTCTGCAGGTAGCTGCATGACTGCAACTTGCTCAGATCATTTGCACTAGTTAGGCAGGGACAGATCTCTATGTTGTAAAGCGGAGAGCAGGATGCAGGACATGTTGCCAGAAGGGGACTGTGCATGGGGTCTCCTCCTCACATGTGGGAACTGGGGCTGCCACACAAAGAGAAACAAAGCCAGCACTTAGATCTGGTGCCTATAAGCCCCCTCACGGACACAGCTCAGCTACAAGGGCACACACACGCAGACATACGGGACCAGAGTTAGCACGCCCCAAGGGTCACGGACAAGGGCAACATGAGGGGCAGGAGGAAATGGGGATCAAAGCTCTTGCCTGGCAACAGGCAGAGCCACCCAGCCCTGGAGCCTTGCAGGCTGTGGCTGGAGGGAGGTTCTGGCATGCTCTGCCCCGTCGCCTCCTGCCCCTCATCTCAGCACATGGCACTGTCCAGGGGGAGAGTGGGCAGCAGGGACCAGGTAACCTCATTTTGTCCCTCCAACACATCTCCCCAAGGGTGCTGCAGACTGGGAAGAGAATCGAAAAGTGCTTAGAAAAGACAGAAACCCCTAGAAAACCCGCCCCGGACAAGCGCCCCACCTTGCCTCCCTGCCCAGAGCATCCCTGCTGGCCCAGGGCAACACCACAGAAGAAGGGGGGGCCGGGGCCGGGGCCAGCTGGGGTGGGAGGCACACAGAGCACCCAGGCTCGCCCCATCCCTGCCATCTACACCAAGGCGTAGTCAAACTGGCCCCTCTCCAACCCCTCCTTGTGGTCAGTCCAGGAGGAGGCGGGCATGCGGCTGTAGGGGTCCAGCAGGATACGGAAGCAGCGCACCATCAGCATCACCAAGAAGACCAGGAGGAAGATGACAAAGGCAAAGACGGTTTTCTGCTCAGCATCCATGCCTGCAGCACCAGCTGGGTGCTCGACCAAGGAGGGGGACAGCAGTTCATAATCCATTGTTGATGCATCATTCATGGCAGAGGTGAGGCACGCCAGCAGCGTAGAGTGTGTGGGCAGGGCTCAAGGCACTCACTGTGCAGCCATTTGGCTGCCCTGATGCCTGGGCAGCCAGCCTCAGCTTCCCACCGCGCGCACACACCCAGAGCACTGCCTGCCCATGGGTTACTCCATAATCACTGGCGCTGCTATGCTGAGCTGGGGGGCTTGATGTTCACTTCTGCACAGGCCAAGAGCTCCTGGAGGGGAAAGCAGAGATGGTGAAGGAAGAGAAATGGTCCTCAGGATACTGTTAAATAACTGGGGAACTGGAAAGGGCAAGGAAGGGCTCTCTGTCACCAGAGCTGCAGTTACCTGCTTGCTGATGTAGCCAGATAAGCCGTCAGATGTCTGACAGAAAGGCCAGAGGACACTGAGATCATTCATGGCTAGGGGCTAATTCAACATATAGTTTTAGCCAGAAAACCAAGGAAGGACTTTTTTTTAATTAAACAAATATTCTTAGTCTGAAACTTTTTCTGAATTCTTATTATCCTTTGGCACTCAACCTAAAGCCATGGATCCTAAACTGGCAGCATTCCTCATTGGTCATTTTTGCTATAGTTCATTTAAGAATTGGAGGGTTTATTATTGAGGAAAAACTTCTTTACTGTGAGGGTGACTGAGCACTGGAACAGGTTGCCCAGAGAGGTTGTGGAGTCTCCTTCGCTGGAGATATTCAAAACCCGCCTGGATGCGATCCTGGGAAATGTGCTCTAGCTGACCCTGCTTGAGCAGGGAGGTTGGACTAGATGTTCTCCAGAGGTCCCTTCCAACCTCCACCATTCTGTGATTCTGTGATTTTTTTTTTTCTTTTGCCAGCTGAAGAACTGAGAAAGTCAAATCAGAGTGCAACGGGGGGAGGAGAATGGAAATATGATAAAGAGACACTTTGTAGAAAATCCTAGTGGGGAATTTTCAAAAGGAAATCGCACCTACTCCCTACTAGTGAACTTCTGCTCAAAGGCAGAAGTTCACTAGTGGATCCCTGGTTTTCCACAAGCACTTATGCAACAAGGTCACTCCCCAGTAGCACAGAAGGAACAGTGTGGTGGGCAGCCCCATGTACTGGTACAGAATCTGCCTCTTTGGTCATAACCCCCCAGCAATCCTCTGGAGAGGTGCTCCTCTGCCAACTCCAGTGCCGTAGGAATCTTTTGGACCAGTTGCCTAGGATCATATGATAATTTAGGTTACCAGGGACCTCAGCTCTGAGATCCCTTTTAGGGGACTACATTGCTCAGTGTTTTATTCAGTCTGGTCTTGAAAAACTCCAAAGATGGACAAAAGCCTAGAGTTTGCCCATTCCTATTGAGGGAGATATGTCCTGCTGCCATATTTCCCCTGACCCAATGACTGCCTCTGGTTTTTCACAGGGCCTAAAAGGAGTTGATTCCCAATGATGAAGGAGGGCACCTACCTCACTGCAGTGCACAGGAACTCTAGCATTGATATTACAGCAGATAGAGGAGAAGGCTGCGTCCTGACAGCCACGTCACTGAGGCAAGATCTCCAGGGTCAACATCCAGCTTTCTTGGACTAGGGATGCAAAAGCAGAAGGACAGATAACAAGAGAAGTTAAAAGGGCCTTAGTCACTATGAGTCAAAGCAAAGAGCAGCAAGGCATCTCTGAAGTTAGCAGCTACTACAAGCTCCCAGTGTCTCCTGATGGACTAGCACTGGCTGGAGTTCACCTAAGGGAGCATTCACACCAACCTCCCCTTGCACGATCCCAGAGCCTGAGTGCTCTTACTGCTGTGGAGACTCCAGTAAAATGCCACACTGGGAAATATCAGAAACAGTCAAAGGCCCCCACTGACCTATCCTCACTGCCTTCCCAGGCAGCAATAATGACCGTCTGAGAGCAATGACCAGTGGGAAAGGAAAAGGCAGAACCCTGTCTCGAGGCCAACACACGCAGATAAGGGCCATACATGTCCAGCACAGCTCTGACTCATGCTGAGGACCTGCTGACTTTTGTTTTTCTGCAGCTCCTGGGACACAAGGAGAAACAGTGCAAGTTTTTAAAGTTTTAAAAATAATTTCAGATCACAAAAGCAGCTCAGTAAAGGGTGAGGGCAGCAGTAAGGTGAAAAAGCTGGACATGTTCTTCATCCGCTTTCCTGACTCCCAGGGGCTGGATGCTGTCCGCTGCCAGACAGCAATCCAGAGCCCTACAATCAACATATAAGTAAGCTATTCTGATTTCCAAGGAGCATAAAAGTTAGTGTGAGTGGAAGTGGTGACGGCAGCAGGAGAATGCTCTTCTCAGAGAGGCTACCCTATAACAGTTGGTCTATCACAAGCTCCCAGCCTCCTCTTGCATGAACAGAAGTGATTAGAGTGGTGCTAGCAATGGAATGGAGGCTGATTCCCATACTCTGCATCTTTCAGTCCAGTATAGTTTGCAATCAGGGGACCAGGGGCACTGTATACCCTATATGAGAATGTTCTTCCCCTTCTCTCTGCCCTTGCTCAGAGTCTGAAAAGGGAAAAGTAAGATTTGTTAGCAAAGAAACTGAATGCTTGTCCTGGCTAATTGCACATCCTCCCTCTGCACAAGTCTAGACATAGCTGAGCACAACTGCTCAGGCAGAGCCCATGCTCAGCTTCGCCCCAGTTATTCGGTAATCTCTCTTCCCAGCATAAGGTTGTCCTATCTAAACCAGACATAGGGCATTCTCTTGAAAGGTGTACAGCATTGGACATTATAGCCCTGCCTTTCCCTGGGACAAAGCACCATCATAACACCTCTGCTCATGTGGGTAGGGACGCATAAGCTGGCATCTCTGTGTCAATGTTGGTCCAGGACATCCCTGAGCTCCCAAACACTGACCACTCAAAATAGCTGGCTTGGCACATTCACTTGCTGAGGCTCCAGATATCCTTTGGGCTGAGGTGGGGGCTTTGCCATAGTTTGTCATAGTGATACCACTGCTGGGAAGTAGTCAGTCCAGTTCCCCAAATGAAAGCTTTACCTACTGGCAGCAAAGGGATGCTGGCCACCCCTAGTGTGACACCCCCCCCCCCCTCAATCCAGAAGTCCTCTGGCTTGGCAGTGTGTCAAACTTCTATCACACTGGGTTTTATCCTGCCCTCCCTCATTTTCCCCCAACCCAGTGTACGGTGACGAGGCCAGAGTGCCACCCCAAACAAAGCAGAGCCAGGGGGCCCAGTGGGTGTCAGTGTGACTCTCTAGTCATCTGGTAATACAAATGGCTCTCACGAGCCATCACTCTGGGGCAGCATGTTTAGGGTCCCCAGGTCTCAAGACGGAGGCTGTTGGTGCCACCACCAGAGTCTGCAGGAAGGACTGTGCTGGCAAAGGCAGAATTGGCTCTGGCAGACTGGTTCTGGCCTGTGATACTTACAGAGAGAGGCCCTATGAAATAGAGACACATCATCTGATTTAGGGAGACAGTGCTGAAGGGTCCCTGTAGCTGAGCACCAAGGCAGCTCCAGGACACAGCCATCTCCTGGCAGCTCTGTGCGGGAACATTGGGGCTGCTGTGATGCTCAGCCAAGCAGCATCATGGCTGCAGGGGAGTGCTCCTTCTACCTTCTCTGCCATGGTTTGGGACATATTTATCATCATCTCCTTCATGAGTAAGGACAGTAATTATTGGACTTGTCTAGCAGTTTCTGGCTTTCTTGACCTCTGTTGCCCAGATAACGTGTCAAGGAAGGCTTCCTCAGTCCCACATTGGCAGCCCTCTATCACTTGTGTTGTTGTGGAAAGCAGTAGATTGCACAGCTTGCTGCTTGGAAAATGGCTGTCCCTGAGGGGTTGCCAAAGCAACACACAGGCTGAGCATGAAGGGA